GAAAAGATACTAGGAATAATTTCTACTTATTTGAATTTGTTGAGACTTGTTTTGTGGCCCCAAAATTGGTCTACTCTAGAGAACTCACATGCTGATGAAAAGACTGTGTACTCTGCAGCAGTTGGGTGAAATATTCTGTAAATGTCAGTTAGGCCTATTTAGTCTAGAGTATAGTTTAACTTGGATGCTTCTTTGTCGATTTTCTGTCTGGATCCTGATCTGTTCATTAATGACAGTCAGGTGCTGAAGTCCCTACTATTATTGTATTGTAGTCTATCTCTCCATTTATGTCTATTAACATTTGCTTTATACTTAGGAGTGCCAGTGTTGGGTGCATAGATATTTACAATTGTTTTCTCTTGCTGAATTGACCCCTTCATCATTATACAGTGGCCTCTTTGTCTCTTTTTATGGTTTTTAATTTGTAGTCTATTTTATCTGATATAAGTATAGTTCTTCTTTTTTTGGTTTCTAGCTACATGGAATATTTTTTTTCCACTCTCACTTTCAGCCTGTGTGTATCTTTATAGGTGAAGTGGGAAACTCATGCATTTTTAACAATGAATTTGTTATTGAGATATAATTTATATATAGTGAAATGCACAAGTTGTAAATGTATAGGCTGAGTTTTAACAGATGTATACTCCCATGTAACCAATACCCTGAAAGTTCTTTTATGTTTCGCCAAGGTCTGAATGTTTGTGTCCTTCCAAAATGCATGTTGAAACTTAATCCCCATTGTGATGGTGTTAGGAAATGGGACCTTTTGGGGAGTGATTAAGTCATGAAGGTGGAGGTCTCATGAATGGGATTAATATCTTTATAAAAGAGGTTGAAGGGAGCTGCCTTGCCTCTTCTGTTATGTCAGGAAGCAGCAAGAAGGAGCAATCTTAACAGCAAAGAGCAGCCCTGGCACACACCACATCTGCTGGTGCCTTGATCTTGGACTTCCCAGCCTGCTGAACTGGGAGAAATACATTTCTGTTATTTATAACTTACCCAGTCTAGGTATTTTGTTACAGCTCACCTGAGCAAACTAAGCCATGCACCTTTCCAGCTAATCACTGCCCCCATCCATTAGAAACAACCTCTATTATCATTTTGATGATTATACATTAGTTTTGTTTATTTTTTGATTTCATGTGAATGAAATCATACTCTTTTGCATCTAGTTTCTTTTGCTCGGTGTAATATTGAGCTTTAGTTAGATATTTTTGTGTGTATCAGTAGTTTATTACTCTTTTATGTGATGTAGTTAGCATTTCCTTGTATGAATATACCGCAACTTGTCTTTGCACCCTTCTGTGGATGGACATTATGATTTTCCCAGTTTTCCGTAAGTATGAATAAAATTATAAAAATCATTCTTTAACAATCATTTTGGTGGCCATATGCTTTCATTTCTCTTGAGTGAATGCTGTATTTAGAAGCAGAATTGTTGGAATATAAAACAGTTCTCTGTTTATTTCATAAGAGACTATGAAACAGTTTTACTATTTGCTTCCATTTTATACTCTCACTGGCAATGTATGAGAGTTCCATTTGTTCCACAGCTTGCCAATATTTGATTTTGTCTTTAATTCTTATCTTTGCTATTTTTGGGAAGAAGCAAATCGTTGTGGTTTTCTTACCTTTGCTATTTTTGGGAAGAAGCAAATCATTGTGGTTTTCTTACCTTTGCTATTTTTGGGAAGAAGCAAATCATTGTGGTTTTGATCTGACTATCTGTGAAGACTAATGACATTAAATACCTTTTCATGTGCTTAGTCATTCCTATATCTTCTTTTGTGTTTGTTCATATAATTTTGAATATTTTCTATTTTTAATTTCCTACTTTTGTCTCCTTATTGTCATAGGTGTTCTTTTGCATACAAGTTCTTTATCAGATGGTATTTATCTTTATCAGATATGGTATTGAGAATATTTTCTCTCAGTCTGTGACTTGCCTATTATTTTCCTAATGATGTCTTTTAATGAAGTTCAATTTACCAATTTTTTGTTTTATAGATGATTTTTTGGTGTCCTGTCTAAAACATCTTTACCTACCCCAAGGTCATGAAGATAACCCATGTTTTTTTTCCAGAGGCTTTATAGTATTAGCCTTGAGGTATATGATTCAGCTTGAATTAATTTCTGTGTATGGTGTCAGTTAAGGGTCAAAGTTCATTTTTTTCCCATGTGGCTATTCAGTGGTTCCAGCCCCTTTTGTTGAAAGCTTTCCTTTCTTCATTGAATTGTCTTGGCACCTTTGTCGAAAATCAATTGACCAATTAAGTGTAGTTCTATTCCTGGATTCTATTCTATTCTTTTGACCTACTTGTCTATCCTTATACCCTTACCATACTCTCTTGATTAGCTTCAAGAATTTTTATCATTTTTTAGTCCTGTTCCTTTCATCGTGGCTACTTTTGCCTCTTGCTGTTATTAGATTAAGAGTTTATTTAGAAGTTAGCACAGCTTTCAAGCTGCTGTGTATCTCAGAGTGTCTATCTAAAAAAATAGGAAAAATAAGAACTCCCTTATATGGTTATTAGGAGAAATAAACAATCTAGTATACATGTTTAAAGTGTATTATAATTCTAAAATAACACTTAAGTGTTTAGAATGTTGCTTATTTTTATTTCACTTTTTGCTCTCTTGACCTTAAAATATATTATTATGTATGTTCACTGAAATCTCCCAGTAGGGTCTGCATTCTAAGTTTCAGATTGTGGCAGGGTACCTGTTCTGTGAATTTAGGGAAAAACAAAGGTCCAATATAATTGAGAGGGTGATAGGCACCTGTTTTCTTCCTATTTACAGTAAGCCTTAACACAGGGTGATGGCAATTCTTTTTGACATTTTTCCTTTGTCTGTTTTTAAAAGACAAAGTAATACTGGACTTGCAATCCTTTGCTCTTCCAGATATTTCTAATTTGATACCTTGAACAGGCTGCTTTTTTTTTTCTTTATTGTGGTAACTCCTTTTATTGGTGAATAACCTTTGCTCTCCCCACCCCAAATCAATGACCTTTTAAACTGTTTTAATATTTACTAGGGTATTATTTGTCCTGAAGCTTGGATTGAGTTTCTCTAAAAGATGATATTCTAGAATTTAAATGGTGGTGAGAGGAAGGGTTGAAAATCTGAATCCTTTCTTTCACCCAGACAAAACTAAGCTGAGTAACAACCCTTTCTCTTCCTCAATCATCTAACAGCCTATAACAAAGGTGAATAAAAAGTGTCAATTATTTTACAACTTTTGCCTGTTACCACCCTAGTTCACACCCTAATTGTCATTCTTATTTTTAAATGAAAACTTTTCTTCCACAAGTTTAATGCAACTTTTTGCCTTTTTGGACTTTGTGTTTACTAGATTGTAAAATCTTGGAGGACAACTCTTTGATTTTGTTTATCTTAGTTTTAGATTTTAACATCAAACCAAGTACATTGCATTTATTTAATAACTGTTTATTCAATTAAATCAAGTGCTAATATTCTACCCAATACAGTGTTATATATATATTATTGCCTCATATATAATGTATATATGTATAAAACAGGCAATAATTATTCATGATTTAGTGATAGTGGAAACTCAGCATTTATTTATTGATCAGTTAAAAGTTTGAACACATTCTATATTTAGAGCATTAGATGAGTCAAGTGCTACTTTCTTTTTAAAAAACATTAGAATCATTCAACTAGCATTCTGTAGACCAAATTATTTAAATAATAGCTCTCCTCTTCCTTTTTCTGCAATGTTATCCATAAGATTTGGCCTGTATCACCTTATAATAAAATGAAGAGAGTCTTAAATACTTATAATACCAAACTCCTTTGGAGAGAATTCAGAATAGATAGATTTATGTCATCTCAAATGCTATCCTATCCCAGTTAGTGCTATAGACAGATTATAATATACTTTACAAAGATAGCCGAATAAGTAGAGTTTTGAAAAGATACAGACATAAAAATGAAGAACAGATGCCTTCTAATGCTAAATTTCCCAAAAACTCCTACTGTTATGCTTATATAGAAATCATTCTCAGACCTTCCTTAGATTAATTTCTGTTCCCAGAGCAAGCTGGTAGTTATTTTCTTCTTTAATAGAACATGAACTTGTCCATCAAATCCTAGAAAGTTAGTCGTAGGGATAGCCCTTAAAGCCTAAAGGAGTAAATTAAGAGCAAAGAAAGGAAGTAGACATCGCAACAGGTGATGCATGTCAGATATAGCAGTAGGAGAGAAATAATAGAGATTGAAAACATAACCTTAACAAACTCATGCAAGGTAGATCCATAAATATTGTGGGAATTGTGGAGACTAGGAAGCTTGGAAATATCCCTAATCTAGACGGTAGAGTAAGTATCTACGGCTTCCCAAAGCATTCCTCTAAACCTCCCTGTGAAAAAACACACTAAGCTGATTGTGTAACGAACGGATCCAGCACAATTGCCTCCAGGGTCATTCTGGACCCTGAACGGGAGGGGACATCGTGACAAAGCAAGTTGTCTGGTGTCATGAATTTGGAACACCATTAAGTGATCTCCACTGAAGGTTACATTCCGCCACGGTCAGCCTTTTGAGGAGGCCTCGCCACCAGCGCAGGGGAGGGGAAGCCTAACGGAAGGTAATTTTGTCAGTGCCTGCTAATTAGTTTTACCCTGGAGACTTTAACTTTCTACAAAGTTTTTTAAAAGTACTTTCAAAATTCAGCGTGATCTTTTTCACCGTTTTCAGGTAACTAAAAGCTAACCGCCTTCCCTTTCCTTCCCCTTGCCAATTCTGAAATGTTGGAGGATTCAGAGTTCCTAGACAAAGGGATCCCGCTCTTAGGGGGAATTGGCATTTCGGGAACCAGTGCTTCCAAAGGCGCCGAATAGAAGGGCTCGAAGGGAATCAGCAGGCGACGGTTACCCTGGGCGGGAACTCGGGTGATTTAGAGGAGGGGTTTGGGGAGGTTGGGATCGGGCTTTAAGAGTGGGAGGGCTAATTAATAGATTAGCCGGAGAGGGGCGGTGCCTGCGTCCGGCCCGCGCGGTGACAGTCCCCGCAGTGCGCGCGCGACCCGGCGGCGGGACAGGCTTCCTCCTCCTCGGCCTCTCCGTGCGTACCGGGAGGGGAGAAGGGGGCGGCGGGCGGGGGGGGCCGGGGCGGGTGGGAGGTGGAGGACGCGGGGGGTCTCTGCCAGCCCGAAAGTCCTTGGCTCCACTTAGCAGCTGAACGTTAGCGTTTCAATCGATCGCTTTTGAAAGGGAATTGTGTTTCTGTCCCCGTGTGGGTAAGTTTTCCCGTTTCTCAAACTCCAAGGATAAAACCAGAAAGTCTTTTCATGCTGGAGTGATGATTTCCCAACTTTTTCTTTTCAAGCCAAAGTAGCCTCCTCTTTGAAAGGGCCCCTTGCACTTTGGGGAAGGAGGAACAGGCACGTGCAAGTTGTAGTAATGGAGGAAATGCCTGTAGTTTAGGCGACTTCTGTTCTCCCCAAGAGTGCAAAAGCCTGCGGTATCTCAGATTTCATGGGCGTAATGGCCTTTATGCCTATAGCAAGACAGGATTTGCTCCTCCGGGTTCACTTTGATAGGAGAAATATCAGCAAGTTTTTAAAGTAATACTAAACAACAATACTAATAATAATGTTAGCTATTGCTACAAGAGCATGTGGGTTAGATTATGATATTATTGTGTGATATTATAGCCAGTGACATGGGAGCTAAGGGTGAACCACTTGGGAGAGTTCCCACCTGTGCCCCACCCCCAATCTGGAGGAGGAAGCCATGTGGAAGGAGAAAAGGAGAAGGGAGCTCTTTTGGGGGGAATTAAGGTCTCAGTTATTGCCTAGCTGGCCTGGGACAGCAGACAGAGGAGTGCATGTAAATTTTCTAGTTTCTCTGCTTCTCTTGAAATGTGGCAGTCTGAGCTCCACGTTTATTTTTTCCTATTTCCTTTCCCTGCTTTCTTTCTGAGTGAGTGCTGAGTGGGTGCCTAGCAAACTTTGGTGTACGGCACCCAGGCTTCCAGCTAGCAATCATCAAAGCCCCGTTTTCTTGCGGTCCCAACCTCCTGTGAATCCCAGCCCAGACCCACCTTTTGCATATCTCTCCTTGGCATTAGGGTAGCACTGGCCTTTGTTGTCCTCTCCTGTTTCCAAAATAAGAGGACTGTGTATGCTGATTATCTTTGGTCATTTACAAAAAAATGCAAATCAGTCCAAATTTGAATATGACTCTCTGTGGCAGATAAGTCAAATTTTTTTCTTTTCATTTCTTTTTTTTTTGTTTTTTTNTTTTTTTTGAGATGGAGTCTTGCTCTGTCGCCAGGCAACAGGCTGGAGTGCAGTGGCGCAATCTCGGCTCACTGCAACCTCCACCTCCTGGGTTCAAGCAATTCTCTCCCGAGTAGCTGGGACCACAGGTGCGTGCCACCACGCCCAGCTAATTTTTCTATTTTAGGAGAGACAGGTTTCACCGTGTTGGCCAGGATGGTCTCGATCTCTTGACTTTATGATCTGCCCGCCTCGGCCTCCCAAAGTGCTGGGATTACAGACGTGAGCCACCGCACCCAGTCACAAGTAAAATTTTTCTAAGGGTTTGTGTTAGAGTGGTGTTTAATAATCCCTGAGATTGGAAAAGGAGGTCAGCACAGTTTCCTGAGGAAGGCCATACCCCACTACTCCCCCAAGAGGCACCAGCATTTCACCGTAGTCCCTGGGCTCTGAACCCCACTTTGCATGAGACCACATAGGGGGCTGAGTCCGCAGCCACCACAGTGCCTTCAGGACATGCTAGAATTAATCTAGAGTTCCAGATTACCATGGCCACCAAATTGTGTTTTTTCTTTATCTCATGTGTAGTGTTTGTTAGTTTCAGAAGGTACAAAATTGCAGAGTCATGGTCCTGGGGATGTGTTTCCAGATTTTTCATGTGTTTTGCAATACTGGCATAGAAAGACCGGCCACCTCATCCTGAGAAGAGAACTTTGCTCATTTTGGCCAAAAGCCTATAAAGGGAAAGGATGTTCCTCAACTGAGAAGTGAAGATTCTTCTCTGATAAATAGTACAGGGGTTTTAGCGGTGAACAAAACAGGAATCGGATTTGACAAGGAACGGCCTCCAGAAGACCAGGGCTGTAGAGAACTCAACCTTGGCGGTGGGGATCCCACACGTTACACACGTGAGAAAACCAAGTTGCTGTCTCGGCCTCTCCACTGTGACTTTGGGTTATGTTACTCACTACCTTTCTGGGACTCAATTTCCTTATACACTAAAGGTAGAAAAAAATATTATTTGCTCTGACTACCTTGGAGTTTTTCAGGTCATGAGAGATAAAATATGCAAACGCTTTTGGAAAAATTCTAAAGCCCTCAGTGTCTAGAACAGCGCCAAAGTCGGAGCTTTTTTATTTACCAAACACTTACGCAGCATTTAACGGGTTTCTAACTTTATTCAGTTAATTTTATTCTCACAAAAATCCGGTGAAATAGGAGTTCTTATCCATCTCGTTTAATAGCTACGGTGAAGAGATCCCAGAGACGTTAAGTCACAGTTATGAAGTGGCAGGGTCAAGATCCACCCAAATGCTAATCTAGTTCCAGAGTTTTGAATACTTGACACTCTACCTTGTGTCCTCTTATGAGGAAGTCACCTCCACATTAGAGGACAGAGCTCTGGTCTGTGGCAGGAGAGATATTCAGAATATTGTTGGATCGAGGTATTCATTACCATGCTGGCCAATGAATGGAGAATATAATGAGCAAACAAACCACTGTGCAGATATGATTCATCATTGTAAATATTTCCTATAATTTGTAACCAAATTCGTGTTTCTCACTTGTTACTTTTCTTAGATTATTTCTCCTTCATTTCTTGAATACTCAAACCACCTAACCTTTCACCCTGTTATTTATTATGATACTGGACCACTCTTCTCCCTCCTGGCAAGCTTTCCTGGTAAAAGGCTTTCAGTCATTTTGTTTTGACTGCAGAGCCAACCATGATAATGGTTCCAGTTTTGTGCAGCAGACTCATGGCAATTTATTGATAAATCAGTTTTGAGGGAAGAAAAGGTTTACACCAGCATTGCCTTAATCCGTACTGTAAAAGACTACTATTTCTTAATGTTCTTACCTTTACTGCTCATTACCTGACACTCGAGTACCTGTGAAGTGGAGAGGAGACGTGACCCATTGACCCATCATTGGGTGTGTGTCAGAGGCTCCCTGCTGGCCTGTCTCCCAAAACCACAGACATGAGGAGTTAAGCCACATTGTGATTGAGAAACTCTGTGTGAAGTGCACTGTGTGTTGTTCATTTTTAAAGAAAAGGCCTCCCGTTGCCCTTTTCCCCAACCACTGACTTCTTTGTGTACTTTCCCACCAGCAGTCCTGGGAGGCTGCCATTTTTTCTCTGCTCTTTCAACACTGATTTTCACTGAGGGGAAAAAAGAGTTCTCTGGACTTTTTTTGTTCCATCACTAAATAAATTTCATTCTGGAAACATTAGTAGAGGCCTAAGGTTTTAGTTTTAAAATTATCATTAAGTAGCAACTTTCGACTTAATGAACTTACCATAATTTTAAAAAAAACTTCACATGCTTGCTGAATTTCTTCAGATCTCTGTATAGAGGCCTGGGATTTAGGGATCCTTTATTAAGCTAATTAACTTACCTACACTCAGTGCAGTTTGTTCATGACTTCCACTCCTTCAATACTAGAACAAAAGCACACACATTAAATGTTACAAAAGTATTATCTTGCACTGAGAGCTAACCTAACATACTGTGCTTTCTAGACCAGAGACTTGTGCATATGGATTAATTTGCTATCATAGGGGACTTTTTTTAAAAAAAACCTTGCACATGTAGTTTCTGTTTGCTTAAATCCAAGCTGTACATTTTTAGTCTAAGAAAACAAAAATAGGGGTTACTTAGGTAGCTTTGATTTCTGTATCTGCAAAATGGGAATGATAATACCTACCTCACAACATAATTGGAAGAAGAAAGAAGATGACAGACATAAGGAGTGTCTAGTTGTACCAGCCACAGAGTAGACATTCACTTCATGTCAGTCGAATTAGAATTAAGCGGAATTAAAGAGTCGAGAGCAGAATTAAGCAAGTCTCTGGAAAGAGGGAGTATAGTGTGGTGAGTGTCAGGGATGTTCATGTCCCAGCTTGGCAGGTTCACATCTGTAATTCCCCTTTTCTTCTTTTGTGAAATGGATATAGCTATGACAATTGTAATAGATTAACAAAGGTGATGGAATTAGTACATAGCATAGTTGGACACATAGCAAACTGTAATAAAGCTAAATATATATGTATGTGGTTTTTATCACATTCAGCAGCAATGCAGAGACAGCTATATGACCAATAGTGATACATATAAATGTGTAGATTACAGGGAAGATGGATAGAAAGATTGGAGCTGATAGATGTCAGGCTAATAAGGACACATGCCAGGGTTGAGCTTTAAAAGCGGGAGCAGTCATCATCTAGAAGAGGTAGTACTACATGCTAAGCAGGATAAATAGCATCTAAGCTTGGGTCTGAGAAAAGATATGTGTTTCTGGGGAAGAGATAGAAGTAGGTAGTAGGACTGATAAAAGAACAAGAGGAGGTTACAAGAATAACTGTCAGAGGACTGGAAATTTACATTTTAAGCTTTACCCTAAATTCCTACCTGTTTTGACTTCAGTATCACCAGTGTGTCTTAGCTTTCCTCTTCAGCACATTCCCAACTATGCTCCCAGCTCCAAGTGTAGACAGCTACATTCCTCTACTGAACAGCTTTTATCTGGTGTAACTTCAGAATGTGAAATGACCTGAGGATCATGTAAAACTAATTCTCCTTTCCTATTACACCCATGAACCATAAATAGTAATTCCATACCATAAATGGAATTCCTTAATTCCTGTTTTTTGATGTTTCCATTATCCTGCTTTTCTTTAGCCTGTCTTGGAATTGATGATGCCAGTGATCATGACGATGATCATGATAAAGACATCGTAAACTTTATTGAGGGATTTTCTTGGACCGGTTCATGTCTTATCTCAATTACATTAGACAACAACCCATTAAGTTAGAAACTATTACTATGTCTATTTTAAGAAGGAAGAAATTTAGTCTCAGAGACTAAATCTCTCAAGCAAAGTTAATAGCTAAATGGTGGGACTGGAATTCATGTCCTGTGGCCTACGATTTTGAATACTACTAAAATGACAAAAAGTTGTAAGTTGGGTCTCCAAAGAAGAATACTTAAGAACTTAGGCCTTCCTGATAAAACATCAGTGTTGCTACTAGGTACATAGTTTGATGTTTCCAGAGAGATCAGTCTATGACCTCTGGCCTTTTGATTTCAACCTATATATAGTCCATCTCAATGCAAGTATGTGATTTTAGTCTTTGTTTAGAGAATTTTAGCTCTTTATTTTTGCTTGTACTGCACCTTTTTAAAATTAGTACTTGTTTGATGTCTTCAAGCTTAATAATATAAAACTAGATAAAATATAATGATGTTTACTTTTTTTCTTTTGAGATGGAGTCTCACTCTATTGCCCAGGCTGGAGTGCAGTGGCAATATCTCGGCTCATTGCAACCTCTGCCTCCTGAGTTCAAGCAATTCCCCTGCCTCAGTCTCCTGAGTAGCTGGGATTACAGGCACATGCCACCATGGCTGGCTAATCTTTGTATTTTTAGTAGAGATGGGGTTTCACCTTGTTGGTCAGACTGATCTCGAACTCCTGACCTCAAGTGATCCCCCTGCCTTGGCCTCCCAAAGTGCTGGGATTATAGGCTTGAGCCACTGCACTCAGCCCCTATTTACTTTGACATTTTAATAACTAAATAATCATTTATTCTGCAAATAGTCCAAGATATTTTTAAGAACAGTATAGTTAATGCTGCAATATAAGAACATCAAATGATCTTCCAGTTATTTTGTGTACTTATGTCTGCTTTTTCTTATCTTATTTAAATCTTTTTAAGATTCTAGACCAAAATTGAAACAATGGGTGACCTTACTCAGCTAATGGACAATGAAGCATTCAGGGCTTTTGCGTCCTATGCGGCAATTATTCTTTCAAAAATGATGCTTATGAGCACTGCAACTGCCTTCTATAGAATGACAAGAAAGGTAAGAAATTTGGAGGTAATATTTTCTTACTTTTAAGAGTTGAAATTCTGGAAAGGAGTTTTCTTAGTTTTCTTTTTTTTTATTTTTGGTAAAGCGCAATAGCACACCATTTTACGCTGTAAGTGAAGGATGTAATCGTTTGGCACAGATGGAGCCGATATATTTATGCAACAGCGCCTTCTCCTAGAAACGAGTAAATGGTGTTTTCATTATGGCTTTTACCTTTCGTCATTCTGCTAAGCAGATGAGATATTCCGGAATATCAAAGTTTTCAAGGAAACTTTCATTTTGGAATTAATTTTGCCAAAGAGGGTTTAGAAAATAATTGTTTTACAGTTAACTGGTATTTTCGGCTCTGGTACAGGTCAAGGGTATGATTTTGATCAAAAAAAAAAAAAAAAAAAAAGAAAAAAAAAAAAAAAAAGGCTGAGAATTAAAGTTCTTACTTTCAAGGTAGATCCTCATCTGATTGGGATGATCATTTGAATTTTGTGTACTTCTGACTTCTTTCATGGATACTATTTCTACCCAGTATTATCAGAATGATTTTTTTTAAAAGGGCAGATGTGGAGAAAGTGGTAGACAGATTCTGAAGCATACATTCTGTATTCAGGTGGGGCTTATCCCTGCTGGAAGGGGTAGAGCAAGGCTCCCTTCACAAAGTTAAAATATTTTCACCAGTGTAGTCCTTGTGCCCGTTCAGCAACTTCGTCCTCGAGATCATCTGTTTCTCTTTTAGGACCTGTCCTGAGTTTTGTCCTCTAGAGCATTGATTTTATGCGGAGGCCAGTCTTCCCTAAGGCGTTTCCTTGTTAGTATCTTTTTTTTTTTCTCAAGACAGTCCCGCTCTTACCCGTACCCAGGCTGGACTGCAGTGGCAGGGTCTTGGCTCACTGCAACCTCCGCCTCCCTGGCTCAAGGAATTCTCTTGCCTCAGCCTCCCGAGTAGTTGAGATTATAGGCATACACCACCAGACCCAGCTAATTTTTGTATTTTCAGTAGAGATTGGGTTTTGCCATGTTGGCCAGGCTGGTTTAGAACTCCTGACTTCAGGTGATCCATCCACCTCGGCCTCCTCAAGTGCTGGGATTACAGGCATGAGCCTGGCCAACTATCTTGAGGTATAATGGAAGGATATTTGCATTTTCATGGAGGGCACATCCCCACATGGTTAAGTCTCTCATGCACTGATGTGTTGCAAGTATCAGGCAACAAAGTGGCTGTCTACCCCCCAGATCCACGCTGACTTCTAGAAACAGAATGTCACCAAGGAAATGGACCCTGTCTTATAAGAAAAGAAGAAGGGAATTCAAATTTGTAGAGGGCCAGGAGCCAGAATGCTTTTTATGTGTGCTTGATCATGGAGTCATTTTACACAATTGTTAGCATTGTCAGGTGAAATGAGGATTCATCTTTCCATTTTATTTAGAAGGGGAACTGAAAGAGGTTAAGTAGCTGTCTGAGTCCGTTTCGGCTGCTCTTACAAAATACCATAAACTGGGCGGCTTAAGTAACAAACGTTTTTCTCACAGTTCTGGAGTTTGGTAAGTCCAAAATCAAGATACCAGCAGATCTGGTGTTCAGTGAGGGCCCCATCCCTGACTTGCAAATGGCCATCTTCTCATAGTATCCTCATATTGGCAGAGCAGATTGAGAGAGAGAGAGAAGGAAGCAAGCTCTCTCTTTCCTCTTCTTGTGAGGACCCGAATCCCATTCATGAGGGCTCCACTCTCTGACCTGATTACCTTCCAAAGGCCTCACGTCCCAGAGACTATCACATTGAAGATTAGGCTTTAACATACAAATTTTGGGGGACCACAAACATTCAGTCCATAGTAATAGCTTACCCAAGGTTACATACAAATAAAGGGTGAAACTGGGATTCAAACTGAAATTGCATTAAACCCAGTCTCATGCTCTTTCCATTGTAAATACACCATTTATTTTTTTATTCAACATATATTTATTGTACATCCAGTGTGTGCCAGGCACTTATTTAGGGGAACACTATGATGAACAAGACAGAGAGGCCTGACCTTAAGAACTTTATCTGGAATAAATATTCCGAGACCTGCACATCAGTTCTCCTCAACATCTTCATCTCTAATAAATGTTCATATCATATTAAGAAAAAATAGAAAACTTACAAGATTTTTAAGCTTAATTTAAGATGAATTTTGCAGTTTGTGTTTTTTCTCTGTCATAAATTATTAAATACTGGCACATGCTTAAATGTTTTTTAAATGCAGATTTCAAGTTTCAAGGGATGGGGAAATTATTTCAAACAGGATAATAATTGCAGGAAGGAATACATGAATGTGTACTTGTTACTCCTAGGAATGTAATTCAGCTTCTCAAATTTCATGATGCAGTAGTCTTCAGCCCAAAGTTTTATCTAGTTTAGAAAAAGAAAAGAGGTACACATGTTCTAACAAAGTGTAAGACACCTTTCCCATCCCTTACTCTTTTATACTTCTTGTCTGTTCTCTAAAACCTTTGGCTGGTAAATGTATTTATTTCAGTTGAGCCAATCACTTGGAAATGTTAATACACTTGAGAGAAGGTATGTCAACATTACTGTGAAAGAGGTCCCAGTGAACCATAGTGATAGTCCATGATGACTTAGAATTATGTCTGCCCATATTTGATTCCTTTTCACTAGTCTTATGCACTGGGTGGTTTTTGTTCAAGTTCTCATTTGTGCTTTCCTTTTTACAACTTTGCATTGTTAATAAAAATTCAGTTTGAACAACAGATGCTTTCTTCTACTCTTATGTTTGATTTATCGCTCCAAATGGGTCAACCTGGATGTCTATATTTCTTCCACTGATAACTTATTAGGTAGAATATCCCCATGTTATTTGTTTGTTTGTTTCATTTTTTTTTTTTTAAGACAGGCTAGAGTGTAGTGGTGCAATCACAGCTCACTGCAGCCTCAAATTCTTGGGCTCAAGTGATCCTCCCACCTGATCCTCCTGAGTAGCTAGGACCACAGGCATGTGACACACCACCATGCCCAGCTATTTAAAAAAAAAATCTGTGGAGACAGGGTTTCCCTATGTTACCCAGGCTGGTCTTGAGTTCTTGGGCCGAAGCAATCCTTCTGCCTCAGCCTCCCAAAGTGCTGGAATTACAGGTGTAAGCCATCTCACCCAGCCAGTATTTGAAATAAGTTTTTTATTTTCTTGGTATTTGGAATAGGTTTTTGCCAACCCAGAAGACTGTGCAACATTTGGCAAAGGAGAAAACGCCAAGAAGTATCTTCGAACAGATGACAGAGTAGAACGTGTACGCAGGTAAACCAATGTCTCTTGAAATTACTTACTTGGTCAAATAATTTTGGTCCAGGAGTTCAGTGAAGATGTCTCAGGGTCTTGGAGAATGCAGATAAAAAGTCAGACCTCTTCCTACTCCTAACAATTACAGAAAACTGGACATCTGAAAGTCTCCAACTATCACTGCAATCACGTATATTGGCAATTTTGCTATACGGTACTTTTATCGACACTCTCTTGGGGTTAATGACATTGCTTTATATAGAGATGTATCAACAGTAATGGCAGGGAGGAGTAAAATGGGAACAGTAGATTCTTGTGGTTTTATCATCTTTCTCCACAGGTGAGACTGCCAGCTCATGTAAAAGGCTGAAGAATTAGGTATTTTTGCATAAGATTCAAAATAAGAATGTTGACACTCTGGAGAAATAGGAACCTCTTTTTCTCTGTCCCTCTCGCCACTGCCATCTCTTTTTAGATGTTATGTTTTAATGTATTGGGGATTCAATGAACAATGAAAAGCAATAAGCCAAGATTTGATTGGGGTACTGTTTTTCCCGTCACCCAAGTAGTGAGCATAGTACCCGTTAGCTTTTCAACCTTCGTCTCCCCTTTTCTTCGCCCTCTAATAGTCCCCAGTCTATGTTGTGCTATCTGTGTTTATGTAGCCAATGTTTAGCTCCCACTTGTAGGTGAGAACATGTGGTATTTGTTTTTCTTTTCCTGTGTTAATTCATTTAGGGTAAGGGCCTACACCTGTGTCCATGTTGCTGCAAAGGATATGATTTCATTCTATTTTTTTCTTAAGACAGAGTCTTGCTCTGTCACCCAGGCTGGAGTGCAATGGCACAATCTCAGCTCACTGCAACTTCTGCCTCCTGGGTTCAAGCCATTCTCCTGCCTCAGCCTCCAGAGTAGATGGGACACAAGCATGTGCCACCACACCTGGCTAATTTTTTGTATTTTTAGTAGAGACAGGGCTTCTCCATGTTGCCCAAGCTGGTCTTGAACTCCTGACCTCAGGTAATCCACCCACCTTGTCCTCGCAAAGTGCTGGGATTATAGGCATGAGCCACCATGCCCGGCCATCTTTATCCAATTCATATTGATGGACACCTAGGTTGCATTACCCCTTTTTTGATCCTCTGTGAAAGTCTGAAGCCCCTCCCAAGATTTCTGCAGATTCCCTATCGGCATGTCATCCCGAGGTTAACTCTGGATCTGGGTTCCTGCTTCTATGCATGTTTCCATATTCTGCAGTTGGTGATGCTGGATGTTAATCCAGCCCTTTCATCAGTTCCCTTCACACACAAAAAAATAGTGGCTAAAAATAGACTTGAGTAAGTGGAGGTGCAGAGACGTTTACACTGTGGCAACACAAACATTTCGAGCTGTATGTTATTACTCTGTCTGACCATGTCCTTCAGCATTCTCTCTCCGGGGAATATGCCCCATACCTGTACCTCCTTTAGTCAAGCAGTATCCAGTGTTACACCATTTCAGAGGCTCTCCTCTTGCCCCACAGACTCTTCAACCCTATCAGCACTAAAATTAAAAGTACCTTCGTACTCATGCAAAACAATTCTACCCCCAAACTAGTCATCAAGCAAGAATGTTTCTCTTCTAAGAAAAAGTCTGTGCAGGTACTTAGCACAAAATTTCACCTTCTGTCTCACTTAGTTATAAAGCTGTTAATTGAGCAGTCCTGCTGAGTAAATCGGCCAGTCTTGAAAATGGGTTGTATGAGGAATATGGATATAAAGTACTTTCGGGACAAGGAATCACTGTAGAAATTTCAAACAATAGCAGAACAATATCAAAGGAAAAGTTATGTGTTAGATGAAAAATAATAAACTGAAAAAAAGTGAATGAAGATTGAAGTTTTCAAAACCACTGAAGAGACACAAAACCATTTAAAGCCTTGCCTGGTCCTCTAGCGCTTCCTTTTTAGAGCAGGCAGCCACATACATGATGCTAGTCATGACCTTGTATTTATAAAATTGCCCAGGACTGGAAAGTGATCAGAAGCAATTAGACCCTCAGCAGCATTAGTAAGATTGAAATGAAAATCCAAGTAAATCTCATGTGTGAAAGCGTAACAAAAGATATTTTTGGGGGGTTTTTGAGATTCCTCCCTACTATTCTTTCTGACCTTCCACCCTTACTCCCTGCCCATGGGGGATTGTACTTTTAGAGGAGAACGACATTATCTAAATTGATCAGCTAGTCAGGTTGAAAATAAATGTTAGGGAGAACAATTGACCCTGGTTCTGAAAAGGTGCCGTGTCCTTGAGGAGGTGCAGCGACTGTGTGCACAGCGCCCCCTGGTGATGAGACACTGGCTTTTCCTCATAGTAAGAGCAGAGCGTCTCCAACAGTGGAGTTTTCAGTTACATAATACTTTTTGAGATCGTACTTGTTTCATCGCAAAAGTGCCTAATAACACACTTTTGGAGATGCTTTTCAAAGAGAGAGAGTTTCCAGAAATCTCTCTTTGAAAGAGTTCTTTCCATTTTTAAGCTAGGCTTTTTTTTCCCCCACCTCTCTAGTTCCTTCAGTAATTGTAAAACTGTTACGATTAGCGTATTTAAATGGCAGGGACAGAATGGGGCTACAAATGAAGTGAAAAGTATGCTTTACCGCGTGCAATAATTCAGAAAATTAATACATACACATATGGAACAATTAATTACAAACTTAAAGGAATATGTGTTGAAATATCAAGATATATGGCTTAAAGTCAATTATTTGAGTTCTGGACAGACAGAAACCAGTGATGTTAGAAAGCGTTTTACATATTTGTTTATTTAATACTATCCTACCTTGTCTAGGAAGCATTCAAGACCATATACATTCAACACACAAAGATAAAAAAAAATGTTGAAAGGCAAACAGCCCAGCTGGTGAGATACAGGGAGTCATTTGAAAGACAAAATAAAGGCTTGAGTTTCATATTTAGGGAGAGGAGAGACATTTAGAATATATTCCCTTTAAAGGTGGAGAATACGCCTTCACTGAGAGTGTTCGTGAAGTCTAAGTGACACTTGCTGGGGACTCTGTCAGGAGACGAACATAGGCTGCGGTTAAACTGGATGATGTCCCTTGTGACCCCAGTGTATGAACACACCTATATGGAGAGATTATTGTGTATGTATCACTGTCATTTATTCTACTGGGATGCTATCAAAAAGCCTTAAGACTGGGTTCCTGACCCTCAGCGTTTTATAATGTTCCCCCCAAATAAGACCCCTGTGCATGTAATCATTGGAGAATGTTATGAAGCCACATTTCATTAGTTCCATGGAATATTCCATAAAGGAAGACCTTGAAGAATATTAGGATTTGGGAGGAGGAAGAGGAGAGGAGAAGTCTTGTCAATTTGGGAAGATACCTTGATGAGAATGTGAACACACCACTGTGTGCTGAGGGTGAAGAGCTTTGGCTGAGATGAGGGAGTCTGGAAAAGCCTTCTGAGCAGCTCCTTTTGTGGTTGTTCACAGCCTGACAATCCCTAGGTGCATGTAGCAACTCTAGTCCAGGTCAGGTGGGTGCTGGGATCCGAGCAATTCTGATCTGAGGAAGGAGGCACGGCTGTGGCCTCAAGGGCACAGAGATGGTGGGAAGGTCTGTCACAGAGCAGATGTGTACCAGGGAACATCTGTCCAAAGAGAAAGAAAAACGGGCAAATGTAATCACGGGGGAGAAGGGTAATAGACGCAGGTAGAAAGCGGTCTCTCAGGAAGGCTGATTTCCACCTGGTGATAGATTTTGGCAGCTGTCTATAAATGGCACTAACGTTATGGAAGATGCCACTCCAGGAAGGAGTCTGTCGTTGGAGCAGGGGGTGGGTTAGGATGGAAGGGTGATAATTGCACTGCAGCAGGTGCTCACAGGGAGAGCTGGGGAGGTGTGTGCCTGGAACAGAGTCTCAAAGAAGTACAGAAAATGGCATACATTGGTATAGAGTATATGGGTCTGTGGAAAGCAAGCCTTGCTAAAATAATGAGGAGTGTTATCTTTGAGAAATTTTGAGGGCTGATGAAAGAGTAAGAGAATTCAAAAGGAAAAATAGGATAGAAATGAGGCTAGAAAAACATGCAGGAGCTAGAAAAGTGAAGAAACCCCTGCCCCTGACCTTCCTTCCCTCTACCCTCGTGGTCCTCTTATTGTCCTTGACTTTCTCCTCTGCTTTAACATTGCACTCCATCTGTCAGCTGCTCAACACAGGGATAGAAGTGGACATTGTTTTCCAGAGAGTCTCCTCTTTATAGTCTCTTCCTTAACCTTAGAATTTCTGTCTTTTTAGCATGTTGTGAAGGAGAACACTAACATGCCTAAGATTGGAGGTGAAGGTGTCTCAGTGGTGCTGCAGAAGTCAGTGTCAAAACAAATACTCTCAGTGTAATTGACAAAGTGGGCCCTTCTTTGATAGAAAACGGTATTCCTGTCTTTTCTTTCCCATCTCATCCTCGGTAGTGCTTGTATTGCTCCATGAAAGAGAGGGCACAAGAACACTCACAGCTTTCTCTCTTTGCTTTCATTCTTTATTGAAGCCTTTTCAACTCATTGCTTATCTAGGCTGCTGCTGTGTTCTTCGTATCTCTATGTAGTTGTCGTCTTTGTGAGGCAAACTTAGAGATAATCTAGGGAAAACAGGAGAAAGGAAAGGAAGGGAACAGAGTGGGGATCATTGAGCAGGCAATATGTAATAATTATATGTGTATGCTAGAGAAGAGAGTAACATAAAACAGAAATGTTTTTTCATTTTGAAATACATATCAATAGCTGACAAACGCTATCAAACTCTCCATTTCTAGCCTAGATTCTAAAGCAATTTCTAATTCTGTAGACTTAAAGGAGATGAAATTTTAAAATTAAGTATTTTTTAAAATGTTGCTGGTCAGGGTGGCTTGCACTTGTAATTCCAGTGTTTTGGGAGGCTGAGGTTGGAGGACTGCTTGAGACCAGGTGTTCAAGACCAACCTGGGCAACAGAGCAAGACCCCACCTCTAAAAAGAAAATTTTAAAAATTAGCCAGGCATGGTGTTGACGCCTGTAATCTCCACTACTCATGAGGCTGAAACCCAGGAGTTTGAGGCCACAGTGAATTCTGGCTGTGCCACTACCCTTCAGCCTGAGCAACAGAGCAAGACCCCACCTCTAAAAACAACAGTGGCAGCAACAGCAGCACTAGTGAAAATGTCAAGTCAATAGTAGATGTGTTCTGTATGTGGTCTTAGCCAGAGAAACCCAAGACGCCATAGTTGGAGCAAAACTGTGGCTAAAACATACTTTTTGTTTTCCTCTAGCTCTGTTATAAAGAAAACATTTAGGAAATTCTCTCTCTCTCTTTCACCTATCCCACATTTTGTGTGCCCTTTGTACTTTTGCACCATCATTCCTAATTTCTTTGGCATTTGGAAGATAGGTTAGCCAAAATTTTATTGTATTTCAAAGGCTAGTTATGTGTTCTGATATTAGATGTAAGAACATGAGATTCTTCATATTAAATTGGTAAATTAATTATTGGCAACCTAGTCGTTTAGGTTGGCAGGGATTCTCTCAATAATCATTTGGTAGGGTAGCAGAAGCGAAGGAGGAGTCTTCAGAAAAATCAACACCAAAAGGATTTTCTTCCTTTGGGAAAAAGAATTTTTATAAAAAGAGTCTTGAATTGCTAATTGTTATGAACCTCATAAGAAAAAAGTATTTTGTATTTACAAAAGTGAAATGAGTTCTATTAGATAGATATTGTTTTGATATTCTAGGAACTACAAAATGCCTTCTGTGATATTTAAAGATACGCTAAGAATAAAAAGAAACAAAAATAATGAGACATTCTAAATAAAAGTCAAGTGGGTAAGGAAGCAAGGCCATTTGAGAGAAAAAAAGCTTACTTTGAAATTTAAGGATTCATTAGTACTCAGATGTAGTTTTTAGAGGAGAGGGAAAAAAGAATACATACCTCCTAATTTGAAATTAGTGTTTTTAATATCCATCTTTTTTTACAGAGCCCACCTGAATGACCTTGAAAATATTGTTCCATTTCTTGGAATTGGCCTTCTGTATTCCCTGAGTGGTCCTGACCCCTCCATAGCCATCCTGCACTTCAGACTCTTTGTCGGAGCACGGATCTACCATACCATTGCGTATTTGATGCCCCTTCCCCAGCCAAACAGAGCTTTGGGCTTTCTTGTTGGATATGCAGTTACTCTTTCCATGGCTTACAGGTTGCTGAAAAGTAGATTGTACCTGTAAAGAGATTCATATAACTCATCATCCAGTTGGTTTCTTAAGAATTCTCTACTTCCAATTTATAATGAATATTTCCTTAGGTTTTAGGTAAGAGAGAAGCAGAGGAATTATGAACTGGGGTAAATCCATTTTGAATATTAGCATTGCTAGTATCCTGTACTCTTGATTTACATTTGGATTAGAAATTTAACATAATAATTCTTATGTCTTTTGTCTTTTCTTATAAATTTTAATCACGTTATGATTTGTGACATTCACTCAACACTGCACTTTTGAATCTATAAAATAATTGCATGTATGAGAAACATTTCAATACTGCTGAAACGGAAATATGAAATAAAAAATTTAGAGAATGACTTTGTTTGTTTTTATTTTTCCTAACATTTTGTTTTCAAAAGTTCCAAACCTAGGGAAAAGCTGAAAAATAGTACAAATTTTACTATGCCCTTCGCTTAGACTCACCAGTCATTAACATTTTATGTATTTGCTTTCCCTCTCTCTGTTTTCTTTTTCTTGGAAACATCTGAGAGTAAGTAGCAGATATCATGACACATCACTCCTTAATACTTCAGCATGTTTTTCCTATGAAAAAGATAATCTCCAAATAACTATAACACTATTATTACACCCAAGACATTTAGCATAATATAATATTTAATATATATAGTCCCTATTCTAATTATTCCAATTTCCCCCATAATTGCCTTCATAACTGCTTTATTTTTGATCCAGGAATCAAAGACCAGACATTGCCTTCTGTTATCATTTCTATTTAGTTTTCACTTAAATGAGAGACTTCTTTCACTTTCTTTTTCTTTTTTATAACCTTGACTTTTTTTGAAGGGTGTAGACAAATTGTTTTATAGAATGACCCTTAATCTGGATTTGTTTCATTTAAGACTTTCTCATTCTTAGATTCAGATTAAACTTTTTTGGTGGTATGTTCTTCACATTGTAATACATCAATAGGCATATGATATCAGTTTGCTCTGTTTGATCAATTTAGTAAGGTAATGTCAACCAAATCTGTCTATTTTAAAAGTCTCCTTTTATTTTTATAATCATATGTGGGGTGATAACTTGAGCCTACGATTATCCCTACAAACTTTCACTTAATAGATTTAGCACCCAGATATGTTGTTTGGTTTCTACATATAAATATGTAACACATAAATCACACAAATTTAGATTTTTTTTGGTCTTCAATGGAATGTATACTTCAGTCTTGATAATAAAGGGTGAGCTCTTAAAATATCAATATTTTCCTTATATATGCTATCCATGTAATTTATATTAATTTTTGATTTTCCTATCTTTTGATTCATTTTAATTTTAAATATATTTCTTAAACAGTACTTTTAATGGCATTTGTGAGTTGTTCATTTAGATTTGCCACTCAAGAGAAAAGTCACTGTGTTATGTTTTAGGTTTCACAGTCTGAGCAACTCAAGTCCATAAACAAAACCTATTAGACAATTGACTGGGTAGAATTCCATACAAGCTTCTTTTTACTTCTTTTTTCTAATGTTAAAAGCAGCTTTGCATACTGTGGATCTTGGCTTTAGGAACTCTTTGTGGTGTAATTAATAGAAAAATCCATGAACCCAAGAGGGAAAAGTCCAAAACCCATGAGTTGACTCTGCATGCATAAACACACACACACACACACACACACACACACACACACACACACCCCTGCTCTCTGGATTTGGACAGCTAACTCACCCTGTCTGATCTGCAGTTTCCTCAAACTTTATAAGATTTTTTGAACGTCATATACTTTTCTGTATGTGAAGCCCTTGAAAAAAGTATATTCTAAGCCATTAAGCATTTCCCATGTGTAAATTATTTCAGTAATCTGTCAATCATAAAGATTCAGATAACTGAGCTCCTCCTAGTTTTGGGTCAGATCTTTGTTGAACCATTATCACTTCTTTCATTGTTTTCTCAAATTTTCTTCTCATTTGGTAATGCTTCTCTGAGTAGAAGCAGAGTGGATTGTGGTTATTGTAGCGGTTATCCATTTAGCAACTAATATTTGATATTCATTAGTAGACATTTTTTAGGGGAAAAGGACATTTAAATTTTATATTCTCAGAGGTATAGGAACTATGTATATGAACAGAACATGCTTAAGGAAAAATGACAAACTCTAAGAATTACCCAGTTCGGCTTCTAAATGTAAGTATAAGTTGTAAAAATCATTTAGAATAGTTTTCCAACTATACTTTTACTTAGAAGAGAAGCCTTAGGTACTGGGGGATTTATTAGTGAAACTGCTTTTATGAAGGGGGGTGGATGAAGGGGAAGGATATTTACTGGTCTAGCCTCTCCTGCATCAAGGATTCCCCACCTGACCACAAGACAGAGTTGGCTCTACAGTGAAGTCTGTGTGCTAAGTGATTTTAACTTATGATAGGACTCAGGGACTCAAGTGAAATTATACAACTTGCCTTAAAACTGTTACCTATGAGCAATTGGAGGGGTTTGTTTTCATGTTTCTGCTACTTAATTTGAAAACAAAAATTGTGGCTTATTTATCTTTGTATCTGTATTGCATAGCTGTGTACACACACATGCACACACACACACACAACTATTACCAGTAGTAACCTTTATGGATCCTTAGTAATTAGGTAACATTGTTTCTTTTTTTTTTTTTTTTTTGTGAGACAGAATCTTACTCTGCCACCCAGGCTGGAGTGCAGTGGTGTGATCTCAGCTCACTGCAACCTCTGCCTCCCGCGTTCAAGCGATTCTGCCTCAGCCTCCTGAGTAGCTGGGACTACAGGCATGCGCCACCAAGCCCGGCTGATTTTTGTATTTCTTAGTACAGATGGGATTTCACCATATTGACCTCTCGAACTCCTGACCTCATTATCTGCCCGCCTTGGCCTCCCAAAGTCCTGGGATTACAGGCATGAGCCACCACATCCAGCCCTGTTACTTCTTCAAATACCACCATCTCCCTTCATTCAGGCCTCGTTCTGTCCCCACCTATTCTAAGCCAACCCTATCACAAGTTATCAAGGTCCACTGAAACTGGAAGATATTTGTCTGTACCTCTTATAGGGGCATCGTCTAGGGCAGTGATGGGAGTTTTGGGGGCAGGGTTCAGTGACTTTCAAATGAAATTGGAGAGAGGTGGGTTTTACCAGAATTACTGTAGTAAAGGCAAATGTATATTTATATAGATATTGCATCTGTATTATATTGGACAAAACTATATATTTTTCTGTAATACTACATGACGTAGAATCTTCTTAATAGGTGGGAAACTGCCTCTTTCAGGGCATAGGAGCTCTTAGGCCCAGAGAGGCAGATTCAGAAGAACCTAAATATAAGTGAGACCAAAGTGTAAATGAGAATGGCAGGAAATGCATGGAAACAGACTTGTAACTGTCCCATGGCCTGGTTGTCCAAATTCCAGAGATTAGTCCATTCTCCTGCTGTGGTCAAGCTGCCCTGGAAGCTAAGTCATAAGAGAAGCTGCTGTTGGTTCTCCTTACGGCATCCCTGCTAAAGATCCCAGCGTCACTCTGCGTCCCAGTGTTCTGCACAGTGCCGTGTGTTGTGTGTGGCAAAACAGCATGTTTGATGGGCGTGGGTTTAAACCAAAGAGAGTTATAGGAATCAAATATTAAATGGGATAAGGCTAAGATAATCTGACACATCCATTATTCATTTCAAGGTGGAGATAATCTCTTGCATGAAACTAAAAACCTCACAGTCTGTTGACCACAGCACCCCACATCCAATTCATCTTTACACTTGGAATGAGTGTGCAACTGGGACTGGCAAGGCCAAGTCTGATGACACAGGACCCTCACCGCTGTGGGTGCTTGGATAGGTATAGTCAATGCTTATCTTTGTATATGTTTTTCCTGTTTCCTGGGCTATCCAATCAGTCCTCTGACTGATACAGTCTCCCTTTCACTATATTAAAACACAAAGAGGCTACTTCTTGGATGTTACCAATCAGGAAGTGACTTGGCGTATCTATTCTGTATTTAGCTAGGAGGTTAACCATCAAAAGATAATTGCACAAGCTCTGATCCCGAGTTACTAGGGAGACCTCTCAAAGCCCGTAAGCACTGCTGACTGCTACTTTCCCAATGTAACATTCAATGACTCTAAGGCCAGATGTTTTGCTAGGCAGTGAGGAGAAGGGCATGGAGTTTCTGACACCCAAATTATTAAATTTTAATGCAGTAAGACCTAGTGCTAGGGAATTCTGATGGGTTCTGTAAACCATTCACCTGAGGACTCTACTTTATAAATAAAGAAACAAACAAAAAAGTAGTTTCTGAGTTGCATAGTTGCATCACACTGATTCTTCGTGGAGGCAGATGGTAAGAAGCAAGGCAATCTGCCTTGGGAGTCTTTACAATCCATTTAGAAACAGCAGCACAAAAATCCTATGATCATCTCCCCACTGCCAGCCTGAAATGTCAGCCCTGTGGGAAGCTGATAGGTGTTCCTGCCATCAGCCAAAGCAGCACCTCTACATGCATACCTTTCAGGGTACTTTATTCACTATATATTCTAGGTAAACTGTTGGATTTGACAAGGAGGAGTTGTCGAAGGCAGACTACTGGGAAGGGGCTGTGTTGGGTTGAATTTGGCACCAATCTCTCATACTTGACAGCTCATGTGCAAGATTGTGGATGAGCTATAGGACCTATGAGCCTCCTCAGTCAGCAAGCGTAGGCCCTAAGTCACATTTAATTCAGAAAGCCTGACAGCCCTGCATAAAATGTGAGCCGTAAAATGGAGAGATAGGAGCTGTGTGCAAGAGTAGACCATTTACGTTATTTCCTTTTACTGAAGTTTTGGAAAATATGAACCAGGACAATGTAGACTCTGATACACCACGAAGAGATCTGTATTAGTAACTTCAAGAAAATAATCCAAATAATCCAAACTTTAAGCCAGACATAATTTTTAATGACCCCAAACTAAGGGGGACATCCGTGTAACGTTAGAAGCTGCCTAAAGTTCTTAGTCTTTTAGCCCAAGTCATACATATCTGTACTTATATCTTTTTAGAAGCAAAACCACCCAAAATAAAGAGAATAGTGAAGGATTGAAGCAGTGTGGTATCGTGACTAGATACTGGATTTGAAAAACACCTGTATCTGAGTCTTGAGGCTTTCTGGCTGCCTGAGATAATGACTGAGGCTTTGTGCCCCATCCTTAATTCTAAAGTAGCAAAATTAATACTTTACCTACTGTATTAATAGCCACAATAGCTTTGCATGGTAAATCATCCTATGACTCAGTGGCTTTGTTAGTGATTCTGCAGGGTTGAGCTGATCTTGTTCGGGTTTGCTCATGTGTCTGCTGTAAGTTACAG